ACGGAAAACAAAAGGATTGCCGCCCAAATATATACGGAGAAAATACGTAACAAAATATTTGTCACAAATTCCAAAAAGAGAAAGCGAAGGGTATCATAAGGGGTTCGCAAGTGTAGTGAGGTATAGAGGAAAAAGTAAAGAGGCAAAGACAGCAATCCAGCTAGCCGAGCAACGATCATGAATCGTTGATTGTGGCGGAGAACCTTTGCTTCGAGCCAGAATTGCGAGAGGAAGTCGAATTGACACGCGAGCTAGAGCTAGTGCTAGATTTAGCCCTTGGAAGATCATGAGCAAGTGAATTTTGGTGAATCTCCTCCGGGAGGAGAAGATCTGGTAGGTGGTCTGGATTCGATGCGAGACTGCGGGGACGTGAAAGAACACCACCAAGAGCAGGATTGTCCTTTTCGCGATGCATGGTGTCGACCGGTTTCCGACTTCGGCGGCGGTGACGGCGGAGATACTCATTCGGAACAGGGTCGACTTGCTTTTTCACGGCGGGTACGAGATTGAGGTAGATGGGGAAGACGGCACCGGCGCAGAAGAGCGCGACTATAACGCAGAAGGAATATGACGCGCCGTGTGAAAGGTATGCGGTGTACTCGGCAAATGGGAAGAAGGTGCCGCCGCCGACTGCCATCGTCATGAAGACCGCGGCTGTTTTCGTATGTTGGGCTGTACCGCGTAGGGAGATAGCGAAGATAATGCTGAATGCGCCGCTCTCGAAGAGGTAGAGCAGCATTGCCATGACGATTGCGGCTGTGCCGCTTGTTTTCATGCAAAGAATGGAGCAGACGATCATACCGATGTAGCTGACCATCAGAATCCAGCGTGGTTTAAGGAACCACTGCGCAAATGCGGCCAAGAAGCGACCCACGGCAAAAACGCTGTGTCCGATGGTCAGCAAATCGAATGATCCGAGTGATGAATCTGGACGAACGGAAACAACGAAACGATGGAGTGCTGTCGCGAAGACTTCTTGTCCGGCCACGTAGAAGAACTGAGACCATATTCCCAGACCTAGAGTCAGCCAAACGACCGGAATGCCGATTACCTTGGTCATATTGTCTTCTCGGCGTCGATTTGCCAGTTCTTCCAAATCTTCATCTGATGCTTCGGGGACTGGTAGATAATAGAACGCCACTGCCAACAGGACATCGAATAGAGCAATGCCAAGATATGTCCATTGTACATCAACCAAAGATGCGACATCCTGGACATCCTTGAAGAGAACCCGTTTCGCCAGGAGCGGCGATAAGACGCTTCCCACAGCTTGCACGCCTTGTGAAATATTGAGTCTGATCTCGGAATTCTCAAGTGGTCCGCACAGCGCAATGAACGGATTTGCCGCGGTCTCAAGAACTGCTAGACCAAACCCGACAATGAAATTTGACAAAATGAACGCAGGTGTCGACGTTAGAACAGCAGAAGGCCAAAATATGAGAGTTCCACAGGCATAGATGCAAAGTCCAGTTATGAACGTGGACTTGAAGCCCCATATTTTCAAGACAGGTCGGCCAACTAGCAGAGGACCAACCACGTATCCGCCGAAGTACGCGCCATGGAGACCCAAGGAATGCCATGGACCTAAATGGACGATAGTCTTGAATTGGGAATTCAGAATATTAAGCAAGCCGTATGCGAAACCCCAAAGGAAGAATAGTAGTGTGGTCAATGCAATTGGCGCAATCGACTCTCTGTTGTTTAGCTTCAGCATACTTTCCGGATTCTTCATGTTGACAAAATCGAAGAATGTGATATCAGGTGCATAAGATGCGCTAGTATGGGTTCCTCCCTCTGTATCGAGAGCTGCTGTTTCCGGGTGACCTAGGAAATCCAATATACCCATGGGCTCCGAGTTCCGGGAACTAGGTCGACCGGCAGAGACACCTCCAGCTTGATTTTGTAGACCTTTATTTCCGTCATTGCTCGGTGGCAATGGCGATAACGATGGGAATTCTGACGAACCCGGGACTGCAGCTGGAGGTGGCAGTGCAGCTTGACTTTCCCCTGCTGCGCCTGCAGAGAGTCCGGGAGGCGAAGAGGTTATTGATGTATCATTTGTATCTCTAATCAATTTCGGGGCAAGACGAGTGACCAGAGGTTTTAGACTTGGGACACAACCGCAAATGATCGAAAGGTTGACTTCGACGACAGACCACATGAAAGATAGCGACGCGTGCCCTGCGAAATTCCCGCTGTTAGCCTAATCGATAGCTTAAGTTTAAATATGGGAGATAAAGGAGTCGTACAGCTGAAGTCCACTCCTCCAATGTTTTGAATATGAATTGACTTGACTTCCAGCGAGCGGGAGATGGCAGCTTGTTGAAGAAACGCAATTCGGACCACATCGACCACGGCGACAAAGCAACCAAAGGAGAAAGTGACCACCAAGATTATCTTTTGCTTGAAAGGTAGGCGCATTTTTGTCAAAAGCGGCATCGGAAGCAACAGGATAGCGATATCCGTAATAATATTCACCGGGGACGAGGAGAGGTACAGGGTGACAATGTCGGTGCAATTCGCATGGGCCGGGACGTCGGAAAAGAACACTGCGCCGATAGGTCGACATTGGAAAACATTGACCATAGTTAAGGCAAAGCCCGCTGCATTCACTACAAACAGAGTGACATAGTTTGCATATTGGAAAACCTTCTGATTGCGCGTCAAGGTCAGGTAGAAGACAAGGATCGAGGTTTTGACGGCCATTAACGCCGGATTCTAAATGGTTGTCAGCATGCCATTGTTTTTCATTGTTGTCCTGCGGAGTAACAAAGCGGAGTAACAATGGCGGGGGTAACAAAGGGCAGTTGTAACTGACATAGAGGACCGTGAACGCATAATTGGCCTTATTAAAAGCGAGTTCATCTTCCGGCTTAATGTCAGTCGAATGGAGACCAAGACCTTTTTGGACGGCAAAGAATAGCGAGAAGGAAAAGCCAAAGGAAATTATCTGCAGACTGGTTAGCCTCCGAGGTCTAACACGAGGTTCCAATCATGTGCCCGGTTCGCCAATAGACCGAGTCCGTTGTCGCGACATCCCCGGGTACATGCAGGGATCAAGTCGAGGGATCCTACCCATGCGACCAACATCAACCAGTCGTGTAACCCAATCTTCCTGACCACAAATATTCGGGAAATGAAGCGAAGGGCAACAAATATAGAGGCGATCGAGAAAAAAGTGATCGAAACACCCAGGGTAGCTTGTTGACGACCCTCCATGGCGAAATTGACAGTGGACTGTCCTAGCGGACAGTCCGGATAGTCCGAACAGTTCGTTTATAACAAGCCAAGGTGTAGCATGGAGTATTGTAGATGGGTGAGGGTTTCAATTTTTATTGTAAAATCGCGATCGTAAGCGGGCAGAAATGGCGCGTGTGTGGAGGCGTCATGGTCCCGTTTCCTGACGGAGTCCGAATCCGGGGGATGAAGGACCGGATTCAAAAAGTTGATAGATATCGAGGCAGAGAAAAAGGGGGAAGAGAACAAGAAGAGAAAAAGAAGGTGAAGACGATCCAAAAAGAATGTGGGGAGAAAAGAAAATTAGGGACCCTTTACCCCGGTTTTGGTCCGCCAATCACCGCCTTTCTGAGTCAACAATCAACTCAAATACTCAACTCTCCTCATCTACTCATCTACTCATCTACTCAAATACTCAAATTCACAGTTACAGAGTATGCAGTACGGATACGGAGTACACAATTACTACTTCTGTCGGATTGTCCATAAATATCTCCTATGTTTCACCCAATGAGCATCCTGGCACAACAGACGAGATACAATCCATGACAAGGCACCAGTTTGAGCTTTTCTTAGGATGTGATACTATGCGGATAACGACGTACACTATTGTGATCTCTCGTTCGCAGGATATTTATCCGATTACCTGTGTCAGGGGCTATGCTGCTCCGCGCCTATAGAGGCAATTTATCGATCATGAGCGCTTCCATCTATCCGAGTCCAATACCCACGTAGGAGTCACTAGTTATATTAGATCTCCTTGAGTGCTGCGAGGTTATGAACTCCCCGGCGGTTCTGGGGTTTGCGATCGACAGCCATCTATTCGCCAATTTTGGAGTGTGATACATCAGGCCAAACAAACGCTGCAGCTCGCCTACTCCCTACACCGAAGCAGCAGGCTTGAGCTCGAATTTGATATTCTCCCCCAGATCACTCTCAGTTCGGGGCAACCAATCGGTCTCCTATTCGCGCACGACGGATTGGTCAAGTTATCCACCGCAAATCCTGCAGACTCTGAGCTTGGCACACAAAGCGATTGGTTCGAGAGACCGGTGCATCCCAATCATGATATTTACTGTCACTGGGTGGGTTTGATGGTACTATGCACACTCACTGTTCCCCTATATTTTGCTTCCGCAATCTCGTTTGAACACTGTGATGACTCTTCGTTTTAAGCTCACAAGTTCCCGGCAATATGCGAACATGCCAAGAGGCTATCAACGGCGCATGGTCATCACCCCCTGAGATCAACGGCTTCGCAACGTTACAATGAACTACCTGCTAGCTCCTTGGCTGCGTTTCTTATTCCAGTATGTAGTCGCGAGGAACCCCTCGGTCGTTCGACTGCTAGTAATTCCCGCTGTTATGTGTTTTATTGTAGCCTTCTCTCCGCTCGCATATGCATTTTACATAATGGATAAATGTACCGACGACCGATATATCTCGAAGGAAATACTGGATACTACTCTACTGCCTATCACATGTTAAAATATTGTCCCAAGGTTATGCCAGAAACCGAACAAGATTTTCGCTATGGGGGAATGTAGGTGCAGGTCCTTGGTTCAATGCTTCTAAGCGAGGCGTAGGAACCTTCTGTTTAGCAAATAGAAAAGTACGAAAGGGTCTGCCCAGGTGATTTTAGTCAATGTTATTTAAGATGCCTACTTCCCAGGAGTTCACTTGGAAGGTACTGAGTGTCCTGACTGCTTCCAGGGTTGTCTTTGTCAACCAGCCGATTCGTCTAGGCCAAGATGAGACTCAACATGTTCCTGCTAGCGTTTGGGCTTTTGCTCTCTCTCCGGGGAGTAAAAGCCGATACTCAAGTTGAGCAGTCCATCAGTTCTATTTGGGATGACTTCAAAAATGCAGTGGACTGTGGTGCTTGCCAGGTATGCTTAAGCTCGGCACTTCCATTGCTTGTAAGGTCTTGAGCTCACTCTATGCAATCCTACAGGTTCTCCTCGGTAGCATCAAAGTTACCGCAGGGCTTGGTGAGAAATTCATGGTCAATGTATTCACCGGGCTGTGCAAAATCAGCGGGGTATGTTGGCGATTCTCATAAGCTTGCTGGCTCAATTCCATTAACCACAAGTATACAGGTCGAGGACCCAGACGTCTGCACCGGGGTCATCGATAAAGAAGGACCTGCCCTGCATGATGCTTTCAAAGCTTTACACCTCAACTCTGACGCTTCCAAGACGCTATGCGCCAGTTTGATCGGCCTTTGCAAGCACCCGGATGTTCATTCCCACACTCTAACGTTCCCTTCACCCAAGCCAAAGACTGCAAGGCCACCACCTAGCGGCCAGAAACCGATCAAGGTCGTCCATTTCAGCGATACACATGTGGACCTCCTCTACGAGCCTGGATCCAGCTACAAATGCTCCAAGCCCATCTGTTGCAGATCCTGGTCAGATGAATATGCACCGGGGAATACTGAATACCCATGTGGACCATTTGGAAACACAAAGTGTGACCCGCCACAAATACTTCAGGAGAGCTTGCATGCTGCTATCGCAGACATCGATCCGGAGTTCTCCATTTACACGGGTGATGTGGTGGCCCACGATATCTGGTTGGTTGACAAGGCCGAAGCGCTGAAAGGGCTGAATGCCACGTACAGTGCAATGGAAAATGATATCGGCATTGTGTACGCTGCCATAGGAAACCATGACACCGCACCACTCAACCTCTTCCCCCGGATGCTTCAAGTAAAGCTGATCCCCAATGGGCGTACGACGCTCTTGCAGAAGACTGGTATGCCCTCACGGGCGTTCCTTCCGTCAAGTTTGCAGATCAATTTGCGTCATACTCAGCCATCCATCCCAACAGCAATCTGCGCATCATCTCTTACAACAGTAATTTTTACTACATGTTCAACTTTTACATGTACCAAGAACCAATGGACAAAGACCCACGCGGACAATTTGAATGGCTCATCGAGGAACTGCAAGCTGCCGAGGACGCGGGCCAACGCGCATGGCTAATCTCTCACATCCCATCCGGTACATCTGATCACTTCCGCGACCATTCAGAGTACTTCGACCAGATTGTGCACCGCTACGAAGCCACCATTGCAGGATTGTTCTATGGCCATACACACCGGGATGGGTTCCAGATCGCATACTCCGACTACAACAACCGAGACTGGAACACAGCTACTGCAATGGGTTATATCGCTCCAGCAGTGACGCCAACGGAAGGCTCACCGTCTTTCCGCGTCTACGAGATCGATCCAGTCACCTTCGGCGTCCTAGATTACACTCAGTACATCGCCGACATCAGCGACCCATCCTTCCAGACAGATCCGGAGTGGGTGCCTTATTACTCCGCCAAGGCAGACTACGGGTCCAGAATCTCTCCTCCGCTCACCGATCCCGAAGCCGAGATTAGTCCTGCTTTCTGGCACAATGTCACCGTCGCCATGGAACGAGATCCGAATGTTTTCCAAGATTACTGGGCGAGACGTGTTCGCGGGTTTGAAGTCGAGGACTGCAATGACGACTGCATGAAAAATGAGATCTGCCTTCTCCGCGCCGCTAATGCACAGTATAACTGTGATAAGCCGAAGGCCTTCGACTTCTCGAAGCGTGATGGACAGGAGGGGGATATCTTGCTAGAGAAGGAGCCTCATATTGACTGCGATCATGCTGGAATGGCGACACTGATCTCGAAGATGGCGTATCGGGCTAAACTTGAGCGGAGAAAGGCGCTTGAGGCTTGAAGGGTCATGGCTGACCATTTGGTAGTTGATACATCTAATTCTAGACAGTAATAACTACCCAAGCTAATTTGATAATATTTGCCATTGAAGCTCTTTTATTTACGTCTCTCCTTTCATCATGGTTATTTGGTGCAAGCGTTGATAAGGGCTTTGGAGGGGGAGAGGAGTGGCGGTTGTGCAACACGGTCGGTTCACTGTTATATAGTTGTTAGAGAACCAGACTTCCATGAGTGCCGAGCTAAACCACTTACATTGTCGAGTTGAAGAACGCAACACTCAAGGCCACTGTCTCGTCATCCACAAAAAAAGTTCATCCTGGTGATCCTTAACAAAGTCTTCATCCTGGTAAGAGTCGAAAACATCTTCGAACCCCATGTCGGAACCCTCATCTTCACTATCGTAATCCCACGACTTCATAGGGACATTGGCCGCTCCACTAAGGGGCACCAATCCTATGGAGAATTCATTGCATGTGGAGGAGATCCCATGATGGCAATGGCAGATTTTCTGGATCCTTAGTTCGGAAAATGACTAGATCACCAGAATTCATCTCATGCGCGGATCGGTATTTTTTTTCGCAAAATATAGATTGTTTCTACGGGGGAATGTAGCGAAATACTCGGTTTGTTCTAGACCTGAACTTTATGTCGTATGACCTCGGGCAGCTAGGCAATACAGGAAGAAGAAGGGGCAGCTGGACTTATCATGCAAGACCGCTTGGAGGGTGGATTCGTTTACCGTCGATAGGTATAAAGCTGACCAACGAGTGTTGAATCGACCCATATGTCTCTGAGCATACAGCCTTAAATGTTCCTTTCTTCAATATATACACCGTTTAATCCAACAATTATCTACCCAAACATAATAAACTCATGAAATCGTAAAGCGGACTAGCCGCGGCCAGAGAACCACACCCCATCGGAAATAAAGGAGCCCAAAAACACCGTAGACAAAACAATCAACTATCTTCATCAGGGGAAATTACTATCTCCGGCGTAGACTGTGGCTTCGGCGATGATGTTGTGGGGCTGACATCGGACATAGATGGTGCTCTACTTCGTGAGATTGGCGTTATATCTAACGGACTCAATTGTCGTTGCCACCCTGCAGACGCGGCTACAGGAGGGCACTGCAATGTTGATGTCCCAAAAATGCCCCCACTCGGGAGTGAATTTGAATGAGCTTGACGGGATTTTGGCCGCGAGATAGTTGGGGTGGGCACTGAACGCCGTGTTGGACTCCCGGGCCTCTTTGAACTGCCTTCGCCATTGTCCACGGAACCCCTGCTGCTTACGAAGCTTGCAGCTCTTGATCGGTTGTCGGGTGTAGATGACATTTTATATTTGTCTATCTGCTTTTGGAGATCTGAGTTTTTGTATCTTTCTCCTGGAGTCTCCGGGTACGTTGTTTTCGCTTCGGGTTTGAACCCTGTTTTCTCGATTTGGTTGTGGGCTTTGGTTGTCATGATGTCACTTGCTGCAATAAGGAAGCGGGCAACCTTTCGTCTTCCTAAATCAGGCTGGGTGCCAAGGGTTTGATTGGTAGTAGGGCGGCGTATGGTTGTCATTTCGATATCGGGATCCGGTCTGTCGGAACTTGTTCTAGACTCTCGTCGAGAACTTCTTCCGGTATCCGAAACAGCGCAGTCACAACTTGGGCATTTTCCTACGATAGTCTCTTCTTGCTGTCCATCTTCCTTTTCCGCGGCTTCCATATCCGCGGAGAGAAGAAGATATAGTGATCCTAATACAGCTAGGACCGCACCGACGATTGGCGCCCATTGACCTAAGGATTCATCTGTTAGTAAATTTATGGTGCCGGTATTTTTGATTGTTAAACTCAGACAAGGGACATGATTTACTTACCAATACTTTGTATAGGCTCTGTTTGGTACTGCACTTGCGTACTCCAGAAGTTCATCTCGCCTTTGACGAGAATTGCCAGCACTGCTGCAGCGAACACCGGTATCTCGATGAGAGCCAGCCATTTGCTTATCTTATTGGTAATCCCATTCATGTGGGTGATGGTAGCCCCATTGGTTCCCAGAATGGGTTCATCTGGCTGGTACTTAGGTTTTCCATTTGAGAACTTCTCCCAGTTATCATCCAAAATTTTGATCCACATGGATACTAACGACAGGATGGCAGGAATGCAGCATGCAGCTGCAATGAGCGTAGTAGCATTGAATGACAGCTCATGAGGCACTGGAATCACATAGATATTGTTGGCTGCGTCTAGTCGCAACGGTGAGACTGGACCATCCTCTGGGGCACAAGAAATGCCACAGTTGGAACCATATCGAAACTCACCACCTTTTTTCCCTCCTGTTGAGGCCCAGTGAATACTTGCCGGGTCGTCACCTGGGCAAATACTAGGTTTGAGGCGCATGAATTCCACAATCAAACTTATTAGTCCAACTAGAAGAAGGACAGTCCACAGAAAGATGATATCACGGCCGGGGTTGTTGAAGTAGGTCCGGGATAGCCTGACGGTCGCTGGGGCAGTTAAGATGCCGATTGCGCACAGCTGGAATGCCCCATAGACATCCATATCCACAGCGCCTATAGAATATTAGATTCATTGATTGTTTCGATGAGCCGGACCGGGCGAGAAGCATCAACCATGGCAATAGGGTCGTGAGACTCACCATCGACATGAAGCGCAGCAAGCACAATCCCATGGAGAGCCGCAATAGCGGGGAAAAGTAACACAGCGGCCAGACAAGCGTTCCGAATCCATTCCACTTTGCGAGCGACCACACAGGCTGCAATCAAGACATAGTATCTGGAGTGTGTGTTAGTTTACCATGGTACCACTGCCAATCTCTTTGTGGGGAAACCCACAGGACTCGGGTCCCTGGGCCATATTGACCGGAAACCGGCCAGGCGCAGACAACCTCGAGATGCGAGGAACTTCCGACCGCAGTCACGTTAGGGGGCGATGCAGCAGAGCGATGCACGAGTGCATGCTCTAGCAAGGAGGCAATAAATGGAATTGCGGGCATTGCATGTTATCCGCCTACAGTGACGGTAACTTTATGATAAAGCAACAAAAAAGGCATATATTAGGGTGTTGCTCTCTAATCGTGACAGTGACTTAATGAGGCTCGATGTGTCTCATAAAAAACGGAGAGAAACAGAAAGCCAGGAGCCTTCGAGCCGTCTTATTCACGAAGCGGTACTCCGCATATTGACCATGATCAACAAAGCGAATAGGGGACCGCACCCGGGGTGAGAGATATTTTGTCAGCAACAGCCTCATCTCGATTTGGAGCCTCGGTCTCGCTGGGATTGGGTAACCCCAGAAAAACCTTTGTCGCTAAGCTCTAACGCTCAGAATGACAAGTGCTCCCGTGATATTGATTTGGGCGGGCGCAGCAACCCGGGCGTGAATACGAGATGGGGCAATCCCAGTTCCCGCTGATTGGCAATTTGGACTCTGTCGGTACATATCGCGCAGTGGCTGTGTCATTCGAGCGATTTATTGGTGTCTTAAAGAGTACAACATAAAGGGAGTTGTGATGTACGGAGTACACCGTAGGAGAAGTAGGAAATAGGGAACGAAAGACTGGGACTGATATTGCCCGAACCATGGGTCGGCCAAGAGTCAAAAGACAACGCTAAAGTGACGGTCAACTTCCTAAAGCCGACAGTGCGGGGTTTCTCAAGTCACGCCAATTTCCACTAGTCTCGACTCTGATTATTGGAACTTCTTGTCAACAGCAAAGCAAATACAAGCTAAGCTAATCAGGAATGTCCACTCTTTCCCGTGCATGTCTTACCCTTTTTTGATTGCCATTCCAGTTGAGGGCTTAGACCATCAGACCTCTCTGGGCGAAAATTTCTCTTCCTATCCTAGCTCTTACTATCGCAACATTTGATTAGCGTCGAAGAAAGTGATTTAGTGATTTACTTCGCCTGAATTCTAGTGCAACTCTAATAAAGCCCATCCTTGACCCACAAATCCACTTCCAACACGGAGATATTCCACAGCCTCCCAGACCTTGACAGGACCTTCATTAGCAGCTGGGCTCCCACTTCTGTGCCCGGCATAGGTCGCAATCATTTGGACCTTGTCGATGTGATTATGAGGGGCAGTTCACTCGATTTCCCCACATTATTGACAATTTCTTGATTTCCGGCATTCAAGCACCGAAGAGAAGGGGACAACCCGCGGACAAAATTCCTCCGAATTTTGGATTGACAGGAAGGAAGACTGCTCATATTTGTCTGGAATTCTTTGCACGAGAGAAATGCGTCTGCGATATAAATAAGACTTGAATATTGACATGCAAATTTCTCTTGTTCCACATTCCGGTATTTTGTCACCATGCCTGACTGCGGCTGAAGCACGATAAGAGAGGCTAACTTGGTGTCTGACGACCACAGCAATTACCTAGTGCATGTTCTCGAAGTGAGCCTCAGAAGGAGAAGCAAACATTCACAATGGACGACGAACTTGATACATCGAAAATCAGAAGCTGGCGATCAATCATCACCCTAATAATTTTTGTTATTACTAGTAAGTGCGGTTAGGCCTACAATGTGAGATTGAGACTTACTTTTGCTTCTTTGCGTGTAGATATTATTGTCCTTTTCCCATTTCATATCCCTCTATACCTGCCTCGATGGCTCACAAACGGGTTTCTGGATGTATTGAGTGCCATACGCATAATACCTCATCGGACTCGCTCTCGATCCAATGAGAAGCAACCGATGTTCGTGAAATTTCGCTTTCCATTGAACTTTATTACAGCACCTTTAATAGCGGATCTCTTCCTTCTGGCTATTTTGGCTATTGGCCGAAAAGAGGTACACGATGGGATAGTCGGCGCAGACAACATTAATCCCATTGATATCATGGTCTTCTTCCTTACACTCGCCTACATTGCCATCTCGATTGACGCCTCTGGCCTCATCAGATATCTGGCCTTCAAGGTTCTCCAAAAGGCAGGCAAGGTCGGCCACCGTCTATTCTTTTACCTGTTTGTCTTCTTCTTCGGGTTAGGCAGCTTCATCGGAAACGACCCAATCATCTTGTCCGGTACAGCGTTCCTCGCGTACATGACCCGCGTGTCAAGCAATATCGTCCACCCGAGAGCCTGGATCCACAGCCAGTTTGCCATAGCCAACATTGCCTCCGCAATTCTTGTCTCCTCCAACCCAACCAACCTGGTCCTTGCTGGTGCCTTCAAGATCAAGTTCATTGTGTACACAGCCAACATGATTGTCCCTGTAGTTGTGACGGCAATCGTCCTCTTCCCGTTCCTGCTATATATCATTTTCGCCGACGAATCCCTTATTCCTCTCTCTATCACAATGCATGAGCTGTCTGAAGATCAAAAGAAAAAAGCACCCGTGAACCCCAACATTCCTCATGCCAGAGGAACCGCCGAAGAGAAAGAGGAAACCGATGATAAGGAGGGAAAGCAACTCTCATTGGAAGAGATCATGAACCCATTCTTAGACAAAAAGGGTGCATCTTTCGGCGGGTTCATCATGGCTGCCACGCTCATAACCCTCCTGGCGATCAATGCATCCGGCGAAGAGAATCCCGTTTTCTGGATAACATTACCCGCTGCTTTTGTTATGTTCTGCTGGGATCTCGCATTTGGTTGGCTCCATCGCCATGGCACCCGTGAGATTGCCGCGAAGGGTCGACAGGAGGTTGCAAACGCACAGGCAGAGCGAGAAATGCGCAAACGAGAAGAGCAGCAAGTGTTGCCCGGAACTATGGACCCAGAGACGTTAGGGTCGGAGCAGTCCGAGCGATATGATGCTACAGGCCTGCGCCACTACAGTGAGCACACAGATGACGATATCTCGCTTGAAAGTCCCAAAAGTGTTATCGCGTCAAAGAAGCCTTACCTAGAATGCGGACCTCAATTTCCACTCTCTGTCCTCGTTAACAAAGAGAAGTTCCCGGAACTACAGCCACCAGGCGGTGTGGTGATAGACAGCAAACAACCAGCTCGTGCAAGTTCTCCTGAGGCACTGGACTCGAGACAGACCACCGAGACGACGATAGATGAGGAGAAGCGGGGATATCCATATCATCAGGACAACGGCCCGCGCACCTTGGCGTCGCTCGCTGGTGATATCTATCGCTGGTCACAGGAGACGTTCCCCACTGTGACAGTCGTAGTATCCCACATGCCTTTTGCACTAGTACCATTCGCTTTTACGATGTTCATTCTAGTGCAGGCACTTGTCACCAAGGGCTGGGTTCCGGTTTTCGCGTACGGATGGGACCACTGGGTAGAAAAGACCGGGACAGTAGGCAGTATCGGTGGGATGGGATTTCTATCTGTGATTCTGTGCAATGTGAGTATAGACCAATCCGCTGGCCATTTTTCCACTTCCATTTGGAACCCGCTAACTCATCACCTTCTAATCAGTTTGCTGGCACAAACATCGGCACTACGATTCTCCTCTCGCGCGTTATCCAAGCATGGCAAAAGATCCATGAAGTCAGCGGAATCCCCATCAGCGATCGCACATGGTGGGCGACTATCTACAGCATGGCACTCGGGGTCAATTATGGCGCATTTAGCACTGCGTTTAGTGCTTCGCTGGCTGGGCTGCTATGGCGGGATATCTTGGCGAGAAAGCACATCCGTGTCGGCAGTCTGGAATTTGCCCGGGTGAACCTTCCAATCATTGCTGTCTCTATGGTCGTTGGATGTGCAGTTCTCGCTGGAGAGGTGTATATTGTCAGAAGTGACAAACCCCACGTGTCAGCTTGATATGTGGATTGCGGGACGCTGTTTAGATGTTTTATAGATTATGATGCCCTCGAATGTTTGTTTGGAGTGGCTTTTTGTCACCGGACACGCAGACGATCTAACGAAGTCAATGAACCCAGAAGTATATCCAACGCCTGTTGTTCTCATTGTGAAATTTCCAATTATTCAGGTGGAGTTGTGTTACATTCTATGACTTGATCGACTCCCACGACACTGACACTGCATGTCACGCCATACCAAAGGCTTCACTCGTCTACAAGGGACTCCGTGTCCATATCGTCCGAGCGATAGAAGCCCAAAGCGTCAATCATGGGCTTATCATCAAACCGATACAGATAGACCGGTTCTTCAGCATCCGCGAAGTGCTGGTATCTGTACCACGCCGGAACACAGAAGGTATCACCCTGCTCCCAGGTATATTCCCTCTCACCAATAGCCGAGCGCCCCTTGCCAGTCACGACATGATATACAGCGGACGTAGTCTCGCGCCGGGAAGGCGAAGCCTTAGATGCCGAAATTCGCTCAGCACATCCTCCAAGCACGCGACTCACTATGAAAGCCATTAGCCATGTTTTCATCCACCGAGTGAAAATAATAAAAACGTGAACACTTACCTTTACGACCATCCTCCTTCAAGTATCTCTTAGTAACCCAATCCGCAACAACTCCATCCAACTGCGCCTTCATGGTAACCCATGGGAAAACCAACGGTGAAGTATTACTATTAACATTCTCCGCAGGATAACGAGGCTTATCGAAGTGTTCTACGAAGTGCACAGGGAAGTGTCTGAAGTTAGGTAAATCCAACCCATCCAACCACACCATAGGTCCAGACCCATCTTTGCCATGGTCATGGTAGTTCCAGGTCGGGGTGAGAATGACGTCTCCCCGCTGCATCGTGATGAGCTGGCCGTGGACAGCAGTAAAACCGCCCTGGCCTTCAATGATGAAACGCATGACGAATGCCGTGTGTCGGTGAGCGTGTGCAGTCTCGTTAGGCATCACTAGCTGTAGACCAGCGTAGAGGGTGTCGGTAGTGAAGGGAGCATCTTTGATAGAATGTTAGTAACAGTTATGCTCAATGTATAGTAGATGGAAAGGTATATCTGAATGCAAAATCTAGGGATAACTTTGTACATACCTCGAGCTGGATTTGTGAGCATCAGCACCCGCCGCTCAGCCTGGTCCGCTAGGACGAGCTTCCCAGCGCGCTCCAAGTTAGGTCTGATGGCACTGTACTTCCAGACATTTGGGACTGTTGTTTGGTTTGGGGCTGGAGGATTTAGGCGCGCCATCTGCTTCCACAGAGGGAGGGTCTTGCTCGCTTCGAGGTCAGCGAGAAGCTGCTCCTCTGTGTCGAGGACATTTTCCACTTGAGTTGAAGACATTATTGGGGACTTTATGGTAATGAGAAAGATCTTTGGAGTCTTTTATCTGCATTTTATCATACAATCCACGACCACGGCGCACCAGTGACAATCCCGCAGATTGCCCAAGATTCACAAGCAGATTATGAAGGCGAGCTGGTAAGACGATTCCCCTGTTTACGAATACCCTGTTCTAGGTCCACTGATCTTAGTATGTATACTAACAAACACCCATAGTGCCTTGTGATCGGCCGCGACACCAAGAACATTTTCCCGGAGAACGCACTCTCCTACATAGCCGCCTACACAGTCGGCAACGATATCTCAGCACGCAAACTACAGCGCGACCCTCCTCTCGCGGGCCGTGTCCCGCAATGGGGATTCTCTAAGGGATTTGATACATTTGCGCCGCTGGGACCGTGTCTTGTTGCTGCGAGCGAGATCGCGGATCCTAGTAAGCTGCTGCTGAAGACGATTGTTGGTGGGAAGGTGAGACAGGAGGAGTATGTTGCGGATCTTGATCTTTTGTTTGATTGTGCGTATTTGGTGTCGTATCTTTCGCAGGGGACGACGTTGCAGAAGGGGAGTGTTATGTTATTATGACGGGGACACCAGGTGGTGAGTTTTATCTTTTTTTTTTTGGTTTTGTTTGATTGGGATGGAATTGGTTGAGCTGACTCGGGTTTTTAGGTGTTGGCGCTGGTCTCTCGCCGCCTAAGTACCTTGTTCCTGGGACGCATATGGATGTTGTTATTGATGCTAGTATTGGGACTCTGAGAAACGGCGTGGTGTTCGATTGAGATGGATTATGTGATTGGTAGTTGACGGAGCTTGGGGCTACATTATAGACGGGCAAGACATAGAGATCGGCAGCGCACTTCTCAGTAGATCCAAATCCAAGACAATATCGCACGAGAACAACCTGACTTGGCTGGAAAGAGAGGCCCGCAATTGATCATCCTAAGCTGTGTTGTAGAAGTGAGGCGCAGTTGTCTCAGCGCGGACCAATATAATCACTAGCCTTGCGTTCCTGTAGTTCATTTTCCGTTTTGGGTCGACTTGAGAGTCTCAAAAGTGAAAAAGGGGTCAAAATACTCCGTACTCGTACGAACAAACAGTTCGCGGAAATAATACCGGGATACTACGATTACTGGAGACTACTGGAGCAAACAAACACGAGTCAAACGAAACGAATTTCATTTAATGATCCGTCGGGCTTGTTTGCATTTCACGAGCATGATCTTCGTACTCATAATTTTCCTGTCGCATGTGCATATTCGAGATCTCGGAAAGAGAACCGTCTATGACTAGCCAGCATGCGCGTAAGGATCGTAAGCATATGTCTTATGGCCGAATGAGGTCCATCATAAGGTAGTATTGCGCAAGATGACTCCGAAGAGAAGAAGATTCTATGAACATGAAAAAAAATGGTAAAATGTGAATGCGATCCACTAGGGACACACGAAATGGTAAAAGATCCAGGGTAAAGGGAGTGAACGAAAGGTAAAAAAAAGGCCCAGTCTCTCTGAGAGATGAATGATTGGGTTCTCAGAGAGACTGGGAAAGAAGCTAAAAGGTCAAAAAAAAAGTGGAAAACAGGGGGGAGGGAAGAGTCGTCAAGACCATATCCGTTTGCGCAATCTGCCAGAGATGTGTCCGTTGTTCATATTCATAATCATGGCCATCAAACTAACGTGCGGTCGACGCAACGTTTAGTGGATGTACCACTTGGCACCATCTACACGGCCCTTGCCCATGGGGGCTAGCTGACCGAAGAGGTGACGAGACAAATCGACGGAGCCGTCGTCGCAACCCATGCACTTGTCGACCACAATACCAGTGGCGGTCTGGCCATTGTATGTGATGGTGACGGTCTTGCCGCAGTCACCGTCGGTCATGATACCGTGGGGAAGGGCGAGAACGTTCTCGACGGTACCATCGTTGGTGGTGCCGCAAGAGCTGGGGTTGGTGCTGGTGGTGGCAGTGTCGTAGAAGGTAATCTCGCCGTCGCAAGGGGAGCCCTCGGAGCAGACGCCGGTGCGGCCGCTACTAGTGGTCTCGATGTTGGTTGTCTCGGTGTTGGCGGAACGGGTGGCAGCAGGGGCAGCGGGAGAAGAGATCTTAGCCTCTACAACGGGAGCGGGAGTGGTAGAGGTCTCGGCCTCCACGGTGGGAGCGGGAGCGGCGGCGGCAGTGGAGGTGGTGGTGGGCGCAGCCTGCTCCACCTGCTTGGCAGGAGCCTCAACAGTAGGGGCAGGGATAGGGGCAGCGGTAGTGGTGGAGGAGGAGGAGGTAGTGGTCGGCGCAGCCTCCTCTACCTCCTTGGTAGGGGCTTGAACAACGGCGGCAGCAGTGGTGGTAGGGACGGCATTGACCACAGGAACGACAGTAGCAGTGTGAGCGGCCTGAGGGTAGACAGTGGTGGTGACATCGACGGTGGTCCAGACGATATCAGTGACGGTCTCCCAAACGACAGCGCGTTTGGCAACGGGAGCCGAGTAGCCAGTCAAGGCGAAGAAAGCGCCAGCAAGGGCGAGAGTCTTGGTGATAGGAGCCATTGCGAGTAAATCAATGAATCGGGATAGATGACTCAAGAGAGAGAATGTGTGTGTGTGAGGTTGCTTAAAGGATTGATCAACTGCACAGCAGGAAGAGGGTTGGGCACTCGAAAGGAATGTGAGTGAGGAAGGAAGGAAGGAATGGACTGAAAGAGAATGAAAACAATTTGAGGGGGAAAGGACCTCGACTTTATAAAATACCAAAGGTAAGGCACCAAAGAGGAAAATGGCCCACTTCAATGGTCACCAAAGTATCCACTTTTTCCAAACCCATGGTCCAAATCAAGCCACGATCCATTGGACAACTCCCGAGGTCACTCCCTTTCATTCCTTAGACTACCTAGCTAGGTAGGTACCTAGATATATTGTACTCACATCCTAAATATCCTACATATAATCCTACATAGGATGAATTACGGGATTATCATAATTGTAACTTCCAGGTACCCGAGCCGGAGGGCCCGGTAGATTCTCATTGGAACAACAAAATGACCGGGGGGCTTGTGCGCCACACAGGCCACATTTCTCCTGACCCTAATCTCCTCTGGGGATAGACCGACGGCTACTTCAGCCGATCCAACGATCCTACTGCCTAGCTGGGTCTCACGACCCACATATTTTGCCTCTCGTACCTGACCAGTCGACCTATCAGAGACAGGGAGGTTTTCTTTCTTTACCAAGGTTCTTTCTTCGGGGGAGGATACCATATCCGCTGTTTCTCGTCCATGGATGTCACTATTGAGATCTCATCGCAGCTTCGCATTTTAGCCGCCTTGTAAATGAAATATGTTGCAGTGTACAGGGTCACAATGCACCCCAGGGAAGGACTGGTCAGAATACTGCAGTCTGACGTGTATGTGTATTTTATCGGGCCCCGACAGTGTGAATACCGATGTGATTGGACAATGTGTAAGACAAAGATGACCTTTAGGCCAATCCAGCTAGAATCGCATGTTTTATTTGTATACTATTATCGTACAGGTATTTTAGTCCCACTGCCAACGGTCTGGACTTGGTCTGAGTTTTCAAGCCGTTTTTTGAGTTTTATTTTTGTTTTTTTAGTGGGAAGAATAGTGCCGATCTTAAATTTCTATTGTGTGAACATCTGGAGTACTCCGTGCCATGTTAAATGGCTACAAGATAATGCCTATAGCGATTGAGCCCTGGAATCTAGACTCTTCATTTTCAAGATCTCACCTGTCTCACTTCACTCCGTATCCTGTATTTCGTACCAATTATTCAACCCCTCTTTATAGCCCTAACCAGCCCCAGCACAAAATGCAGGGCACAGGGCACAGAGCACGCACCCTGAACAACCTTGAAATGCCCAAGACCTACATAATCGATACCGAGAACCCTATCAGGATGCTGACTATGTTCGCACAAACAATCAAAATGCACATATAGCTCTCTCACTACACATCCCCCGGCATTTTTGTATTTCAGACCCAACCATCTCCTTCCCGAGAGGGGAGCTAGACCCTGTCGCACCAATATAATATAGCACCAGATACATGGTACGAGCTCGGGAATTTGGTTGGCACCCATACAAAATACTTGTTTTCCACTTGGTCCAGTCCCCTCTACTCCATCTGACCGAAGATCCCCCGGAATAGGATTGGTTGACCATGGTTGGATTGCATACATCCATATCGCAAGAAATTGCAGATTCGAAGAATTTGAAGGGAGTGGGGGTTGAGACTAGAATTGTACTCCATAGTCTCTGGTGTCGGCAAATTTTGCGATAACCTCTAGTGTGTCCGCGGAGTGGCGACAAGCCCTGCCCACACGATAGTTACATACCGGATTAGTCCCTAAAGGGTCATTTATACTGTGATAGTTAGTTCGTTGATAGCATTGCTACTATGTACCCTCATTTTTTTGGAGTACTACATCCCACCAAGGAAATACGTCATGACCAAGGGGCGTAGGAAAGTGCGGAGAACTCCGTCCGTTTTGGGATGTTGTCTCCCTCTGCCTATTAACTGAGAGCGGTGTTGCGCACTGCCAACTGGTCACAGCTAGGTTAGATGGGTTCAGGGTATGCTTGCCTTAATACTCCTCAGGTGCCCAACGTCAACGATCTGTTCTCTCAACCGTACTGATGCCTGACAGGCCTTATTACAGGATGAGTCCTTTTGAGATATCGAGGAACGATGCCAGGTAGAGCGCCGAGTAGATCTATACCGAGGTATTGGTCTGCTCGTGAGTGTTGTCGAGTTATAATCAAGTAAGGAGTCAGCGTAATCCAAAAGGTAAACACAAGTAAAAATGTATGATTGAAGACAAGAACTAAACTAAGTACATGAATGAGTGTCCTTGTATATCCTTTGCTCCTACTCCCCGACCTACGTGTTATGGCATCTACAAGGTGTAGGCCAGAAAGTGGGGAGGGCTACGGAGGGTTCTCTGCCTGAGGCACTAACTTAACGCCTAAGGCCACCATCAGAACACTACATCAGCTCTGGGTTCTTTTGCACAATGAGTTATTCTGTAACAATCAGTATAGATTAGGAGGCCGCTTAGGAGTTAGATAATAATTTGACACTATATATACTGCCTATCATTAATACTATAGGTTAAGCATGCCCATAAAGAGATCGCAATGGTCACCTTAGACATCCTTTTTCTTTTACTCTTAAAGCTCTTCCTCAAGGTAAGATCTCTCCTTAACAAAAATAATATTGCGGGAATGTTCATTTATGCCTCTGCATTTGCATTAAGATATAGGGAAACCATGTAGCAGGGAAAAACCTATAACAAGGCAACATAAAGTAACCCACACAGTATAAAAACTGTATATCTGAATGACATGTAGAACAAGTGCTGCATCCATAAAAGAAAGACCAAACAGTATTCAGGGCTTAGCGACATCCACCATCACAGTTACATCCGAAGATATTGCAAGCTGCAGAGGAATGTCAGATACTGGTTCAAGCTCTAAGGGCACTCACTAAGGGATCGTACGGCCTTTCCCGCAGTATGGGGTACCTATAGTTCCATCACCGCACCGCTATAAGAATGTCAGCTGTTATCCGGACCTTGATATACAGATTATTAAGTGACTTACATTTCCACTTTGGGTCAAAGGACAGCAGACTTGTGTCGAATCTGCGGCATTCTCTATAGGACTGGCCAAACTGGAACCGAATAGGAAAAGGAAGGTAAGGGCGGAGTAAAAGGCCTTCATGACTGATTGTAGGGTAGACGGTTTAGGAGTTAGACTGGCAGTGAGTGCTAATAGGTGGTGAGTTGAATAATGGAGGATGAAGAGGATGGAGATCACTTTCGAACACTCGAGGAGGAGGGCCTTTTATAAGTTTCCACACGTCTATTCCAGGGTTATCTTGAATAGTAATTACCTAACGCTGGTGTTGAATATTTGTAAATCTGATTTATTATTGCTTTTTACATGCGTGTTGTCCACGCCACAACACAAGGGTATGTAAGAAATTAGTGCTTGAGAGATACTATAGTTTAGCGATGTAATTTTTGATACGACAACAACAACGATATAAGTACTTGATTTATTTGGAGTTGATATATAATACTAAAACTCCTTATTGATTGCTATCGGAAAGTCATGAAATCAAATAGAAGCGTTAGTTGTTGAAACTTGAACGACAACGTTGTATATCGCTTTTACTATGTGTGGACGCCCCCGTATGTGTGGACGGCCCGCGGACGCCCCCCGCATATGTGAACGCCCTGTATGTGTGGATGTGGACGCCTTGAATATGCGGACGACTCGTATTGTATGAGATACGTTGCTAGTACGTAAATATGTTATTAGACAACTTGAAATGTAGAATAGAATTTGGTCTCCTTTTAGAGAGAGACATGAAACCCGTTACTACTAGCTGGAGAATTTAGGTATCTGAAGACTATAGGGCTGCACCTCGAACCCACCATAGGTGTTAGATCAAACTATACTTAGTGGGGTGGGGGATTGACAGCGCTGATCTGAGTATTTGGCCAAGATAATTATGAACGAGCAGTTACTTGGGTCCTGAGTATCGATCTGCATTACCGTGATCCGTAGAACCAAACCCCGCGCCCTTACGGTAGTAGCTCCATTTGGCCAGGCGCTGAGATATACGAGGCTACCACAGCTATATATCCTTGCACATACATGTAGATTGTCTCACTTCCTAAAAGCAGATTCAAAGCCCTATCAACGCCCATTGTAGCCTAATTTACGATTATATTATTAGACTGTGTTAAATAATATACTGCAAATGTAATATACTGCAAATGTAATATACTAAGCAGCATGTAAGAACTTTTGGATGAATCTTTCACAGGGTATAGAAATAAAATAGTAAAACTGTCTAATCTCTTTATACATGGAAATGAAGCCATGTTTATGTCTTCCTTTCCATCCCCGTGGGTGTGCCAACCCTTACCATGAAACATTGCTTTTTGTGATGAAGGAAACGGGAAGAAAATAGGTAACTAATGGATGAACCGCGTCAAATTCTGAATTCTTGGTTCGTACATGGGTTCGAAGAAGACTAACATGCATCGAGAGTAGCCTGAATTGCAATGCTACCTTGCGACGTCAGGATACTCGATTTTGGATGGAAAAATAGGTGGTGGATGAAGCAAACTGCATCGATGCCGCTAATCTCCATTCCGCAGGAGTCCTGAATTCTTGGCCGCTGATCCCTATCCTCAGTGGGCACTCAGCGCGCAGATCACGTTGATATGTAATGGCCCGTGATCAAGTCAGAATACTCAAGGATGTGCTCAGTCTTACTCTGAGATTAAAAAGCGGGGAAATGTGAGCACTAAGATGGAAATGGAGAGGTCTCGAGTGCCAGGCATTATCCCGTACATATGGAAATAGTCAACAAACGTCACGAACCGATGAAGATTAGTAGGATTGTCTACTCGCAACCAAAGAGGTGTTTGCTTTCGTTTCTCGTATTTTGCAATGGCTTCTTTGGGGGTTATCCATTGCCTCTTTCGGTCCCATTGGTTATACTACGAGGGCCAGCTCGTCGATTTGACCAACCAGCGTAGCTCCCCACGCTACTAGATCAATAGTTTACGGCGTTTGTTGTAGTGCATTGCTTATATTGTTTCGTTGGCAATTCGCCAATGCTGCTCAAGCTTTGTCCTAAGGTCCCCACAGGTTTTCAATTCATGTGAGTGCCGCTGGGACCTCTCTTTCTGCGGTGCGGTCCTGACACGCAGGAAAGTTGGAATCACAGTATAACATGGCCTAGAACGCTTAGAATCTGGAAGTGGTATTCTTGGCGTGAAATACTAGTTATCAGGCAAGTGGGACAATAGCAAAAGGGATAATGTTTTGTGTTCCTTATCCCGAGACGATTCAAAGGCCCTTTTTGGGACATGCAGAAACCAAGATGATCACATTCATAAACCTTCATAACCAAAAAAAAGAGGCATCATAAGGAACCAAGAATCCCGAGGTATCAGAGGCTTGGATGTCTCATGCTTTACTACCTGTTGAAGCTATTCCCTTACTCGTCATAAAAGTAAATATGCTTCCCAGGTGGTAATATTCCTCTGCCGGTTCTATACCCTCTGGGGGCTTCATTTCCTCTTCCGCATCGACCGCGGGAATGGTAGACCCTGGTATATTGTTGGTAGCCTGTCTAACGCCCTTGACATCACGTATTCGATCCTGCTCTGGACGATGATAGATTTGACGGTTCGCATCTGGAGGGCCTAGAGGCTGTTTGCAAGACAATCAGTGCTTTGGTAGCCTTTTCTTAGGCCCTTTTCTTTGCTTCTTCGTGGTATTATGTGGAAAGTCCGCGGTCTGGTCAAGGTACTCTGCAGTGGTCTGGTAGAGATCGGGAAGCTTCGAAATACCACGGTGGAGCTTTAGACTGTTTTCTTCCCTTAATATTAGCTTGCTAAACTCTGAACATTCCTTCGTACGAGCGTCGCTCTCAGAGGAGTATTCGTCACGCTTGGTGACAGCTGCTGCTCGAATACTTGAAACTCTAGCTCGTTTACTATACGATGAAGTATCGGTCGAATCACCCGCAGAGGGTTGAGCGGATAGAGGCCTGTATCCACGAAGGCATTTAGAGTAAATTGCAATAGGAGACGGGAAATTATGGGGGAAGCATGGAATTATGGGAAAGCGTGGCATTATGAAATAGGAACTGCGACCCTACGAGCACAGCGGAGATCATTGGACCCACGCGGCCCGAAGGGAAGTGCGCGTGTTTATATCAGGGAGACTTGGCTTTGATCTTATTATCATATTATTCTTAGCAACTCAAGCCCAAACTAATGCTGTTAGCGCATTAATGAAACAGGGCCAGCGTCAATAATAAGTCGAGACCACTCATATGCCCTCAAGTGCCCTCAAATGCCAGCGGGTTCATGTCGCTAGTCATGTTCGTCACAGTGGGGATCCGACAAATATATCGACCAACCATTCTCTAGCAAGACCGATATTGTCGGCGCTAGCCTCTTCCTCGGCGGCTCTGGAGAAATTAAGAAAGCACGGTCGCCTCCTGCACAACTCATCATGGCCAACGCATTCCGTTGTCTCTATGCCGATGACAACTGAGCATGGTGTTTTCTGCATCGAAATTACGCTTTATACAGCTCCTTTTCGTCTTGTTCGGGGTTGCTTTCTTCCTCTTCAAGCTACGACCGAGCATAACCCCCACCCAGCAGGTCTGGGACGACCGACATGATTGGGATAACTTCCATGCCATCAGAAACGAAACCCTTGGGGTAATGATTTCAATTCAAACTTCAAACTTCTCCTGGAGATCTTTAAGCTCACGACCATTTAGTTTCAAAAAGTCTTCGCCATTAACCTTGTCAGCCGGCCTGACAAGCGGGACAATATCGTCCTAGGCTCATCCGTCAGCAATTTCCACGTAGAATGGATCGACGGCGTGACTCCGGATAAAGTAGATACTAAATCCTATCCATATGTATGTTTTCTAACGTTACACAATATACACGCGCGACTGACTTTTTCTAGAACTGGAACCATGACCATAAAACGACCGAGTACGCTGCCCGACGGGCGCATGTCAACGCACTCCAACGGTATGTGTCGGAAACCACAATATTTAACTTCAACTAATTATCCCTAGTATTGTACACGAGAGAGTAGGGAGTGCTATCATTATGGAAGACGATTCAGACTGGGATGTATCAATCAAAGTCCAGCTTCAGAGCTTCGCCCACGCAGTCCGAGCCCTCCAGGCCCAGAAAGGTCCATCTCAGTCACCCTACGGCGACGACTGGGACATCTTATGGCTAGGCCACTGTGGCCTGTCATGTAAAACTGACTTGCCATTTTACCTTACTCCAAATGATCCAACGATCCCAATGCCCCATCATTTTCTTCCCCAGTGGCGCGACCCTCCGGTATTCGAGGGTTACGAGAGACCCGACCACAGCCGACTTGCATGCACCGCAAACGACGCAGTCTGCTCATTGCTTTACGCCGTGAGCTACAAGGGTGCACAGCGGATTCTCTCGGCCCTTTCGGTTAACCCGTCTGGTCTTGCGGAAGAGATTGATATTGGTGCGCAGTTCGACGTATCACTCGGGCGCATGTGCGGCAATGGTTATTTACGGTGTTTTGCACCTTACCCTTCTATCACGGGTGGCTTCCATCAGGCAGGGCCAAAAGCGAAGTTTTCTGATATCCACGATGATGAGAGCGGTGAGGAAGAAGGCTTTTTCAGCTGGGGAGTGATGTATAGCACTATGCTCAATATCAACCGTATCCTGAAGGGGGAACGGACCGTTCATGCGACATGGGACGATGTGGATGTGTTGGATGTCGTTCCTGAAGACATCGCAATGGAGAAGGGGGCTATTTATATTCCTCCTATAGTGACCCCGACAATTATTTCACGAATCCAGCCGACAATACTGGCATCAATATGGTCTACACACTGGGTGACAAGCTGGTTGTCACATGGAAGACCACGCTCGATGCATTCAACGACACTACCTGGCAGCAAAGCTTGGTAGAAACGGGTGCCGCCAGTCAAGGAAATATATATTATTAGTTTTACAACACCCTCAAGGACAAGGCGCGAGATTATTAACGTTTTCTAGCTAAAATACACTCCGCCGATAAAGTCACCAACTTCACGTGGGTTGTCCAGGTGTACGGCTTTGATCTTTCGTACTCCAACGAATTCTTCCTCTGGATTAACCCAGATACAAAGGGTGGATTTGTCTCTACGTACTTCAACATCACCGAACCTACCTCCACTACCAGCACTGAGTCTTCATCAACATCCACATCTACATCTGCATCGACGAAAACGTTGAACGCGGCAACCACACCGTCCTCCCCCTCATCGGCATCGCCATCGGCTTCTTCAGACTCGGATTCTCAAACGTCCGAGTTAACTCTGACCGGAAAGATCGCAATTGGGGTCGGTGCGGGTGTTGGACTCCCGATTCTGTGTGCTTTGGGTGCCCTTCTCTATCTCAAGACACGAAAACCCAATAACAATATTGAAAAAACAATCCCGCCACCGGAACCAATGCCGCCTTGGATGGTTATGCAGAACCAGAATGCTCAGATAGTATCGCCCAAGGAGGTGCATGGATCGAGCCTGGAAGCCTCTTTTGCCGAGCTACCTCATCGGCCATATCGGTGAAAGGAAGTATAGGGGATACGTGCCGTGTGACGACCTATGCGAAGATGAGTGACTTTAATGTTTCATACAGAAGAAGCATGATGAGCGGGAGATGTTAGTATGTGTTTAATATAATGAGTCGACGAAAATATGGTAGATGTGCTCTATAGCCTTGCTTGTAAATATATCCGTTCTTGTTTAATCAGGTTATAGTGACCCCTAGGAATAAAGTTGCTAATAATACATGTACTTTGCTCATCATCTCTGACAGGGAAGCCCAGCTAGATAGAGCCTTCAGCCTCGGCCCATGGGGAAATCAGGTCGTCTGTTTAGCGCCGGGGGTGGGTGACTTGGGCGGGCTTCGAGGGCTATGTATGGGTTTGGACTAGGGACAGACGTAGTGCGGGTTGCAAGTGTAGGGATGAGTATCATGTGGTAAAGTGGATAATAGCAGGACTTGGTATTCAACGCCAACGAGTTGAGACCAGTCCGGCACAACGAGGAATATGTACATATCTACACTTGGTCTACAAAGTCTACAAAAGAAGAATGAATAGAATGAATAATAGAACACGTTACTGAAGTAATAATAAACAAATCCAGGAAATATCACAAACCCACGCCGAAACACGATCAAAGGAAAAAAGAAAAAAGTCCATCAAAATCATAATATGGGTACACGTAGGAAGCCACGACCATGCACAAACTCAAAAGGGAAACATCCAAAAGCATTAAAAACAAAGGAAGTTTAACCCTGGCACATGATGCAAGCATCCTTGTTCTCGATGCTGCACTGCAGGGCGGCATCGGAGAAGATATCACCCTCTACAGCCCTGCTCTCGGCATCTTCTGGCTCGGCTTCAGCATCCTCAGTCTTGGCCTCGACAGCAGGAGCCGCAACAGCAGCAGGTGCAGCAGCAACAGGTGCAGCCACAGTGCGCGGGGTCTCCTCGACAGGGGCGGCGACATTGGCGGTAGCGGGCTCGGCGCCACTAGTACGGGGAATGGCCGAGTAAGCGGAGGCACCGGTGCCACCGGTACGCTTCTTAGAGCGAGCGATGTTGGTGTCCTCGACGAGAAGCTGCTCCTGATCGACGGTGAACTGGATGGGGGCAGAGGCGGCCATGGTACGCAGGTAGTACATTCCGGTCTTGAGACCCATCTTCCAGCCGGCGAAGTGCATGCTAGTGAGCTTGCCCATAGTAGGCTCCTTCAAGTGGATGTTGAGGGACTGCGACTGATCGATGTAGGCACCGCGGTCGGCGGCCATCTGCAGAATGTTGCGCTGGGAGATCTCCCAGACGGTCTTGTAAAGGGCCTTAATGTCGGCGGGAATGTTGGGGATGTTCTGGACGGAGCCGCCATCGGCGATGATGCGGTTCTTCATGTTGTCGGACCACAGGCCGAGGTCGACGAGGTCCTTCAGGAGCCAAGGGTTGACGACCTGGAACTCACCAGCCAGGACACGGCGAGAGTAGATGTTCGAGGTATAGGGCTCGAAGCACTCGTTGAAGCCCAGAATCTGACTGGTACTGGCAGTAGGCATGGGAGCGACCAACAGACTGTTGCGGACACCAGTCTCGGCAATCTTGGCCTTCAGGGAGGCCCAGTCCCAGAGATCAGTGGGGGTACGGTCCCACATGTCATACTGCAGGATGCCCTGTGAGACGGGAGAGCCAGGGTAGGTCTCATATGTACCCAGCTTCTTGGCAATGTCAGAGGAAGCAGTCAAGGCACCGTGGTAGATGGTCTCGAAGATCTGGATGTTGAGCTGTCTAGCCTCGGGGGAGTCGAAAGGCAGACGCAGAGCCAGGAAGGCATCAGCAAGGCCATTGACACCAAGAGCGATGGGGCGGTGACGGAAGTTGCTCTTCTTCGCCTCAGGAACGGGGTAGTAGTTGATATCAATGATCTTGTTCAAGTTGTGAACGAGAACCTGCACGACCTCGTGAAGCTTGCCAAAGTCATACTCGCCTCGGGCAGAGTCAACGAAAGTGGGAAGGGCGAGGGAAGCCAGGTTACAGACAGCCACCTCATCAGGGGCACTGTACTCGACAATCTCAGTGCACAGGTTGGAGCTACGAATAGTACCCAGGTTCTTCTGGTTACTCTTCTTGTTGCAAGCATCCTTGTAGAGCATAAAGGGGTTACCAGTCTCAGTCTGGGCCTCAAGAATGGCGTACCAGAGCTTCTGAGCCTTGATGGTCTTGCGGCCACGGCCTTCCTGCTCGTACTTCGCGTAGAGAGCATCGAACTCATCGCCGTAGACATCAGCCAGACCGGGGGCCTCGTTGGGGCAGAAGAGGGTCCAGTCACCGTTGGCCTCAACACGCTTCATGAAGAGATCGGGGGTCCACAAAGCGTAGAAGAGGTCACGAGCGCGAACCTCCTCCTTACCGTGGTTCTTCCGCAGATCGAGGAACTCGAAGACATCGGCGTGCCACGGCTCCAGGTAGATGGCAAATGCACCAGGGCGCTTGTTACCACCCTGGTCGACATAGCGTGCAGTGTTGTTAAACACACGCAGCATAGGAACAATACCATTGGAGGAGCCGTTGGTTCCACCAATGTAAGAACCGGTAGCGCGAATACGGTGGACATTCAGACCGATACCACCAGCGGTCTTGGAGATCATGGCACATGTCTTGAGAGTATCGTAGATACCCTCAATGCTGTCAGCGCTCACATCGACCAGGAAGCAAGATGCAAGCTGGGGCTGGGGAGTAGCGGCATTGAACAGAGTGGGAGAGGCGTGGGTGAAGTACTTCTGGGACATCAGGTGGTATGTCTCAATGGCCCTCTCGATATCCTCGCCGTGGATTCCGACAGCAACACGCATCAGCAAGTGCTGAGGACGCTCAGCAACATTGCCGTTAATGCGAAGAAGGTATGAACGCTCGAGGGTCTTGAATCCGAAGAAGTTGTAGTTGAAGTCACGGTCGTACACAATGGCCGAGTTGAGCTCCTCGGCGTGCTTCATTACAATCTCGTAATGTTCCTTTGAGATCATAGGAGCAGGCTTATTGTTCTTGGGGTTCACGTAGTGGTACAGATCGGAGATGACCATAGAGAATTGCTTTTTAGTTTGCTTGTGGAGGTTCGAAACGGCGATACGTGCAGCCAGAATGGCGTAGTCGGGGTGTGTGACAGTCATGTATGCAGCGGTCTCGGCAGCCTAGGATCAAAATATTAATATAATTTCACAAGCTGGAGGCAACGAAGCGAGCATACCAAGTTATCCAGCTCAATGGTGCCAACACCCTGGTACACACCAGAGATGACCTTCTGGGTAATGGCTGCAGCATCAACGTGCTCGGGGTCGAGGCCATAACAGAGCCTCGAGACACGTGCGGTAATCTTGTCGAACTGCACGCGTTCTTTGCGTCCATCTGCAGTTTGTATCTGCGTTAGCCCTCGATCCGAAGAGTGTGGCAAAACCAAGTAGCTGTGGCGAGATGAAGGAGCAGAAGCTATTTCTTGCCACCAATGGCTCTGTGTATCAAACAATCGTGTATGGACTTACCTCTCTTGTAGACGAACATTTTGAATAGTGATGAGTTGGTAGGGGGCTGAAAAGAATAGAGAGAAGTGAATAAGGGTATCAAGATCACGGTAGCAGAAGAATTGAAATAGTATTAGAGTATAGAGAAAGGGGAAAAAGATGAATGTATGAAGCCCGTAGAGGGGTGTGAGAAGAAGAAGAGATCAGAGGGGCAGAGGAATCTTTGGTTGCCGAGTGGACGCGTTGTCTTTTCGCGTGCCCGCGTTTTTTCAGCTTACCAACATGGGGATCCACCTTTTCCTCCAAACCTCATCCTGTCAGGCAGAAAACATCTTATTTATACCGAATACAGTTAGCGCATCCACACTAATGATCTTAGCGTGGGTCTACTAGCGGAGATACAGAAGGCGGTATGAGGTGAGAACAGGCGGTGAAATCAGGCCTCGCAGCCAAACCGCAGCTCGCGAATGGTCACGTGAACACGCGAAAAGTCGCGCATGGGTGCATGGCATCGGAAGCCGTCCGCCGAGCGGTCTAAAGCATTCCGGGCTCAGATGATCTTTTTAAATGCCACTACTAGATTGAACTTGGCTTTTGATAGCTTGAGGTTCACCCCACGATGTCCTAGTCAACATCATATGCAACATCAAGAGGCTCGATCGGGCCCCTTGCTGCATCACACATCAATGTGATGGATTTACATCATCCTTCTGATGAAGGAGCCAAGAGGGACAAGGATGACCTAGAAGTACCTCATATGGACTGTTCATTCTCTTCTACAAGTGGAATCGTTGGCATCTTTTGGTTATTGATTGGATTCATGTGAATCTGTTTAAATCAATCGACTGATTCGCAGTTGAGGCAGACCTAGACGTTTTCAAGAATCGTTCTGCCTGAAGGCGAAGAACACATAAATCAATATGATTTGGGCAAATAAAAACATAAAAGTTCCGGGGATTCAAATAGTGGCACCAGACGAGCAACATATTAGATAATTCGAACCAGATCCCTGAATAACGAGGGTGATTCAAATCAGATTGAAAGGAGCAACATCAAAGCTAACAATAGATGCTCGCCTCGATATTCCCGCTAGGCTGCTCTCAGTTAATGCCGGCTTCTTACAGCAAAGCAGCAGCGCCAAGGAACACCGCAGCAACAAAGGTGGTGGCGGAGAACTGGCGGTCGGACGAAGCGGCGTTGAAGGTGGAAGTAGGGGACGCGGCGGCACCAGACTCAGAGGCGGTGCCAGTGCTGACTCCCGAGGTACCGGCGGCGGCGCTGGAGCCAGTGCCAGTGGCGACGACAGAGGAACCAGTTTGGGTGGCAGAGGACACAGCGGTTACGAAGCCAGTACCAGTAGAGCTCTCAGAAGTCCCGGTAGAGGTAGCGGTAGCGGTGGAAACATCTTCAGTGGCTATAAAGAAGGCAATAAGTCACCGATTCAATGATGTAACGTGATCTGGGGTATCTGTCAATCCTTACCGACTTTGTGACCGAGCTGGGCGCAGTTGCTGGCGAAGAACTTCAGGGAGGTCTCGCTATCGGCACAGTTCTTGGAGATGGCAGACTGGATCTTGCTGGCGCTGGAGCCACAAATAGTCTTCGAATCGGCTGGGTTGGCTTGGTTGCTAGATTGTCATCAGCTCGGGACTCCACTGGACATTCCTTCCATTCCTTCGAACATACCCGATGATCTTGAGAACACAGGCCGGGGTCTGCGCGGCAATCACAACGTTAGCCAAAGCCACAATGGCAATGGCAAAGATGGACTTGTTGAAGAGCATGATGAAAGATGGGAGATCGGTGACCGGGAAATTGGAAATGTTTCAAGGATTGGATTCAAGATCGCACAGCGAGTCTGGAGTAAAAGAATGTGTGGGCTAAAGAGCGACTGTAGAGAGAGTGTGGGAAAAGTGAAAGACGACAAAGAGTGACGAAGTTGTAAGGAAAATAAGCTCAGGAAAACGGGGGGGAAAAGAGGGAAATCGGGTAACCGCAGTTTCATCACAATATGGAAGCCACGATGGGGGTCAGGGTCTGTTACATTACATTAAGGGTCTTACAGAGATGTACCCCTATTACTGTTTGCCCCATATTAAGTATACTTTACAGTACTTGTTATATTAATACAGATATTTCTGGTTCCATGTTTTGTGGCACGTCGGCTCCCAAAGCGGCTTAGCGTCAGGAACCTTTCCCCCGGACACAGGGGAAGAAGCCCTATCAGTTCGTCCGCGTGAGCGAATATATGATACTTGTGAGACTCAAGAGTTATCTTAGGGGTGGTATTCTGTAACATACTAGGTAAGACAACGGTTTTTATATTCTCTTAATTTCATATTTAGTGGCCGATCCAGATGAGGATTGGAGGGCTTCTAGCTCTATTAATAGCTCTAGCCGCCTCCCGAGGTCTACAACATAGATGAACCACAGCAAATTAACAAAAGGCAACCTTCCAATCTTGGGAAACAGGGAGATGTACTAATTTGGTGGAACAATCTCCCTCAATTAGAGACTAGCTTTCCACTAACTTACTTAAATCTTGGGCGTCTATATATGGTATGGGATATACTATTATCTCACAGCGCAGGGTGATTACTCGGTGACCACCTACCTAGGTAGGTAGGTAATTGTACTTAGTAACTAAGCAGCCAGATGACCCATACCTATATCGTATTTTACTATGAGCCGGCCACTGTGACAACCTGCCCCTGGCCTGGCGAGTTACAAACTAGGCCAAAAGACCACTATATATGAGCAATCACGCTCAGATAGACCAGGGTCCGATATATATAGTGCATGACACGACAGCCACCCAATTTAACCTATTGAATTAAAATGCATATATCTCAACCAAAACGCTATCAAATTAATTCAACTAAGCTGATTTATCTACCTGGGGTGCATTTATTGGTTCTATACCACATATTGGTATGCTGGGGTTAGGGGTAGACCTCAACTCCCACGGGACCCAAGTATTTTTAATCATGCTCATCGAACATTTCTCATTGGGGACGCATTCGCATGGCCACTAGATTGCGAAACTTGCATCTGGCTCAGCATCCCGGGTACCTGCGATCCAGCCAATTGCCGCGAGTCACCCGTCTCCGAATTATAGGGTTTCTACCTTTTTGCGCTTTCAACATAGCCCTTGGATTTTCACGCAGGATAAGAGTGGATGAGTCTTAAGGAAAAGAGGGAACCCAAGTTGGTATTCAAGATAAAGTAGCTACCTATGGAGAGCTGGCTCGAACAAGCTATCGAACGATACCAAACATCAAAGCAATATCGCTACCAGTTTGTTCTGAATGACAGTTTTGCATCATTGCAAGGAGAGACGTCACCGGACACGAGGATCTACTATTGTTAGAACCGACATATTCAATCATTAGAAACACTCACATCGAAGTCTGTTCTCAACGGTTCCAGCTGTTGTTGAAAGTCGAGATTCCTCTGCCCTCATTGTCATTCTGCAGCTGGAAGATAAGCTTGTTCATGAACTGTGGAGCCTCATTGCCCGCAGCAGTGCTTCTTCCAAGGTTCAGCTTGTTCCTATCAAACACGTAGAAATCCTCGGAGACACGCCAAAGAACATTTTCGGCGACTCGTCCTCTAACCGCCTCATACCACTCATTGAGGACACCAGGAGAAGGTGCGATAATCACGTAACGCCATGACCAATCGTCGTTGCTCTGTTGTTACAATTAGCGGTGGTCCCTTAAAAAACACACCAAAATACCCGCTTGCTCTTACGTTCTTTGCGTAGGCGTAGTACACCATGATTGTGTATCACTTTCTGGGAGTCTGTGATTTAAAGGAGGTAGGCAAATGATCTGATAATTGAGGCTCGGTTTCTTCCTAATGGCCTTGTTGAATGGAAATGATATTTGCTCGAGGGTTTCAACGCCTTTTATAACTTATTCTCTGTAGAGCAAACGGGTCAAAACGGAGACATGGTGGAGATGCTTTAGGCATGAATGCAGGAATATGTGATACGTAGACAACATGGAGAAGGGGACATGCACATGCATACACGAGTCCGTCATGCACGAGCACTGTGCCTCTTATGCCAGTAGGGGTCTACTGTCGAGTTTTCAGCTAGCCTACTCCCACCCCCGGGTACTTAGGTAATCCTTTCTGTACTCGGCTAGAAGGGAGGTAGCTTATACCCGGTTCTTGCCAAGCAACCCAACCCCCCTGCGGGTGTTGGGTTACCACACACTAATACAAACTCTTGCCTAATACAAATTTTACACCACCCACCATTTTTACTACCATTTTATACCCTACAAATATGCCTGAAAAAAACCCAGATTTAGAGAGATCATTGGCAAATGCCCTATCTGCATGGCATACTAGAAAAAAACCAAAAATAGCACCATTAGCGCGAGAATTCGGCGTTCCCTACACCTAGTTCTATAACCGCATTCACGGTCGGGGTTCTCGTTCGACGCGCCATACCACTAATTCAGTCTTAAATTCGGATTAAGAGCAAGTATTAATTAGCTAGATCACTATACTAGATGATGCTTACTCTCCGCCTACCGCTAAGATGATAGAAGGGTATATAAATTCGATGATTCTACGCGAAGACGCGTCGCGTTCGCCGGTAGATAAGAACTAGGTATACCGGTTTTTAAAACGTATCCTACCTATCTATAACCTTCATTTTATAAAACAAAAACTAAAGGAAAAGAAGAGAATAGAGGCCGAAGATCTTAGTTATCTTACTATTTAGTATAAATATTTAAACTAGTATATTAAGAGCAATCAACTAAGGCTACGGGATATCTATAACTTTAACAAAACTAGCTTCTAAATTGGCTAAGGAAAGCCTCAAAAGGTCGTTTTAAAAAGCTAGAATCTATATTTACTAAATAGAGGTATTACGGAAGGTATTACCGGTATTAAATATATTACTACCGACGGTTAGAAGATAGTACCTTAATTCCTAGTTCGGGGTAAATTTTATATAGAGAATTAGTATAAAGATACTAACCTTCCTACGGATTATACCCTAGTAACTACGCCTAATAGCTATACTACCGATCAAACTACTATTTAATAGCTTAAGGCCTTTGATTTAGCTATAAAAGACCGGACTACTCGGGGTAGTAAACGGCTTTTGTTAATAGATAACTATAGTTCCTACCGGATCCCGGAATTTATTACCTTTATAGCGGAAAATAGTATTATTCCCTACTATTTTATACCCTATATAACCTATCTATACTAACCGCTAGATAGTAAGCCTTTTCTTACTTTAAAATATTGCTACTAATCGAATAATAATATTGTTGTTTAATAGGGTAGTTCGGTAGACCGTAAAACGGACTTTTTCCGGGAGATTATTTCCGTCCGTGATACCCTTATAACTAGAGTAATTAAGTCGGGATTTGTTTATTATAGTATTTCCCTATTTAACTATACAATAGTGCTTAATCCGCTTAAAAAAGAAGTAGATTATAGTGATAATCTAGTTATCTTTAGTAAAGATAATAGATTAGAGGTAGATTTTCCTAGCTCTATTACTAATTCACTACCCCGCGATATCTCTCGTATAAACGAGAGTACTCGTAAATTGGAGGTAGATATAGAATTACTAGATAGCGAGCTTTATATAGCTATTCGATACCGAGTAAGGCTATTATATCGAAGTGCGCGGATTTCGGTAGAGCTTGCTATCTAGCTTACTAAGGATAATACTACTCTTCTACGCCATAAAGTCCACCGGGATACCCGGATTACTAAACGGCAGATCAATTTAGGGGGCCCCCTAACCGCCGGTGATACAAATCGAATGATCCGGGCGCGTGAATCAAAGGAGTAGGCCTAAGAAGATAGGCGGTTGAAAAAGCAGGGTCGGAAGCAAGCAATTGCAGAGGACATACCGATACTAGGACCCCGTTTTATACCATAGATGCCGCCTATAGATGATGAACCTACTATTTAACTTTTTTCTTATATTTTTACCTGATTTTATTAGGCGTTATGTGGTGGGAAAAATATAAAAACATTTGATGCGTTCTTTGAAATTTGTATTAGGCAAGAGTTTGTATTAGTGTGTGGTAACCCAACACCCGCAGGGGGGTTGGGTTGCTTGGCAAGAACCGGGTAGAGCAAAAGAAAATATTCACGAGTTAGAGTAAATTTTCTTGTTTACTTTACTAATGATATTATCAGATGTCACGCAAGTACATTTTCTCCACACCAGGAATGTGATAATGAGCATGAGCAACCCACATAGACTTTTGACCCACTTACTTTGACGATTTCTGCCATGATGGACTAGTTCATGTTCCGATGTTGACTTCGAGAGTCTTGTAACCGTCATATTACAGAGAGTTTATATAACCAAGCCTTTGTTTATCACACCTTTCTGTTAACCGTGTTCGATGGAACTAGGTTCTTTGACATCAAAAAACTGTGTAACAAAGATGATATTTTATACGTTGTATGCCCATTGATCTTCAGTTAGCCTTGAAGCAGGCGCAAACGTGAAACCTTTGTTGCCGATCACTCAGCCAGCCACCTCTAGCACACAATATATCATGACATATGACGGCAAATAAGCCTATCATGCTCAGGTGTAGGACATCTCGCCATGTTACGGACGTTATATGTGACCTATCGAATGTCTTTTTTAAGGTATCAGGCATACTAATTACACACCCTTCTCGCTACTCTCCCGAGGTCTTTATCATTATTTACGTCGAAAGCTTTGTACACATCTACCAATCTAGGATTACCATGTACAACAAAGAATATTCTCCCCTCGGCCCCCAAATCCCATCACATCTAGTCCCTAATGTAGGATAACGCGGAGAGCCATAAGCCTTTAAGGTTGTTTTCACAATTTCCATGGGTACATGTATATGCCCAGTAACTATCCATCTATGCATGACAAATTAGGCTGATAAATGGATACAAATACAACTAGGTGCATGGTTGTTGGGGGCGAAGATGAGATCAGATTGAAAGACTACCGGATGGGGCAATATATACACAGATCCTATATTGGGCAATAGTCCCCTTTCAATGTCCTTCTAAGATGGTATATGAATCACACTAAGATATCTTATGTCGAGTTGGGAAGGGCACAAAAATCTAGCGGTATAGTTCCCTATACACTAGAGCCCTATATTGCTAGATTTTGTGCCGTTCTCAATTCGTCCTGTTTTTTTGTCCTTAGCCTACCGTTCGTTTCGCGCTCGCTAAATTGTTTTATTTTGGGAATTGATATACTGACACCCCCTTTCAGTAACTCAAGGGTATCCCACATATAGACCTAGATATTAATCGAATTAATCAGCTTCCAAGGTTCTTATCACATCTTAGCTATGGTATTTATGTACCGTTGCAATGACAGCCCTGCAGTTCAAAGCCTTGTTCTTATATGGAAACGTAAAACGAAATTGGAATACTCATATCAACATAGTATTAACTCTATACATCATAGGACTTCGTCAATATCAACAAATTGCCCACTCGTCATAACTTCTCCCAAACAGGATCAAAAATACTCGAAACAACCTCCTGCACCGGCAACCTTTGATCCACAATCTCCCTCCCATTAACCAAATCATTCTCCCTGGCCCTCTTATCCGCTTCAACCTCATCCCTCGCAATCCCCGCCTTAACATGTCTAACCACCAACCTCTTCCTCGCAACCTCAAAATCAACATCCACAAACCAAAGCTCATCCATCAACGCAGCAGCCGTCTTCCACGGCTCCCGATCCAAGCTTAGATAATTCCCTTCAAAAAACAGCACCCGACAACTCGCCGGAATGGCAATATCCCCATCAACAGGATCTTTAATAGCATGGTCAAAGCTCGGCGCGTAGAGAGTGCCTGTGCGAGCCGTAAGCGGCTCTCGCAGAGCCCGCACAAGCTCGAGAAACTTCTCGCCGTCAAAGGTAAATGCCGCGCCTCGGCGTGCCACCGCATGCACCGGGTCAGGCATGGCGGCTAGCTGTGCGCGCGTGAGATGGTACCCGTCCATTGGGAGGGCGATTGCTATCGGTGTTGGCGTTCTCGGGTTCTCCGAGGCGTAGATTTTGTTAATCCGCGCTGCCATCATTGTTGCTAGGCCTGTCTTGCCGGAGCCTGGGATGCCGCTGATGGCGATCATTAGACGCGCGTCGTCTGCTGTTGAGCAGAGTTTTGCTGGGGATTTTTTGTTAGTTCGACGTTGTCATGCGCGTTGGTGATGGGGTTTGAGAGAGCGTGGGGATGTGGCAAAGGGCGTGTTTCAAGCCCTTGCTCTGCTTTGGTAGATGGGGGCTTTGCTTACCCCAGGTCTTGTTGACCAGTCGGTCTACCTGTTGATCCATGGTTGGCTAGTGAGGTCACGCTGGGATCAAATGTGTATGATGGAAATATCCGAGGGAAGGATAGGCCCTGGATTGGTGGGGCTGCGCAAGGTGTGATGATACACTTCAGTGTTGCAAATTGACGTGTAGCAATATTCGAGATGGGTTCTAACTACTTTGTATGGTGAACATGTGGTTATTTGCCTCTTTGGGTTGTTGGACTAAACATAACTTCTTCCCCGACGTATTGGCGGGGGCTCTTCAAGTGGGGACTGATGTACTCCGAAACATACGTCACTGAACTGGACAGGTACACAGAGTAAATATCTTCAATTGACTTGACTTGTATTTGTTTTATGTTATTTAGTTGTTTAGTTGTTTATTGTTCATCCTCCAAGCCATAAAAGAACCAAAATATCTGAGAATACAAAAATGTCTAAAAGGTCAGCTTGACGAAAGATAACAC